GACTGAAATTCGTCCAAAATTCAACCATCTTTTCTATTTTATACATGTTAGCTTTCCTTTTAAGGTTGCATTTTTGCGGTAACCGATACTCCTAAGCATAAAGTAAAAGCGAGCAAGGTAGTTTGTTGGTTGTACATTTGAAAATCAAACTTTTTTCTCTTTGGTTTGTTGATGGTTGTTTGTTTGGTTGGTTGGTTTTCCCCTAGAATCTTTCATCTTGGCTGGGTTTCAACATACTTTTGAGTTTGATAAGAATCTAGTATCGCAACCAAAGGAAAAATAGGATTGAAGGGTCAAGTCGTTATGTGTTGTCCACAAAGGTGAGGAGTAGGCGAAGTCCGCGCTTATATCTCAAAACGTAAGCCACTATTAGAGCTGGAATGAAAGCGACTTCCTCTCGTCAGAGACCACTGGGGTTAGACATTTCGTGTGGCCGCTTTTTGGAGGTTCCACACTTTCAGTTATGGGTAGAATTAAGAGAAGTAACGTTTACGCTTGCCCACAATGATGAAACAGCCCATGCTATGTTTGCAGTATATAGGTCGTGCTTCAATTTTATCCTTGGCTTAAATTCTCTTTCCCTTTGTTAAGGGTATGTATGGCAGAGAGTAGGTAGGTGGCCTTAGGGTTTTACGCCTGTCTGCTTTACGATGACCGTCTTTGTTGTAACTACCCTCCGCCCCTGACAAATAATTTACGAAAGATTTAAACCGTGGTGGCCCTTTCCAACTTGTTCAAGGCGTGATGTAAATTTAATGAATATTAAGACAAACAAACGTAGAAACAAAACTAACTGTGCGCAAAATGGGCGTTTTTAAGATTTTTTCTCTTTGTCTACCTCTTAAACCTCTTAACAGCAGAATATAACAAAAACCTTGGTGCTATTTTAGTGTGTAATACTTTTAAATAATTTTTGCTCCTCTAAAAATTACTTCTTTATTACCCCTGGGGCATTCACAGTTCGTCACATTTGATGTCAACTGACTCCAGCACGAAATGTTTTGACATTTCGTTTGTTTTAAGTCTTGGTTGTTATTCACATTGCATACCTCACTTTGCATGTGGAACGAGGCGTCGTGGACTTTGCTTTGCCCGCCTAAATGACCGTAAATTGATTGTTGAATAGGAAAAAGTGCCAGTTTGTGTTAAGATTGGGAGAAAAATCACATGAAATCATCCATAATTAAACGCTTCTGTAAAAATAGCCTTATATACCTTCTCCTCCTGTTTTTGTCCCTGAGGTCAGTAAACAAGTTAAGCCTAAGAATGAAACTATACCTCTACTTGATTCGACATAGCTTTATTGTAATAGCGTAATTTCTGTAATTTATGATAATGAAATTTATCTTAACACTTGGACTTTACAGACGCATTAAGCTGTGGCATCCATATGTTTCAGTGATGTTTTGCCGTCCGCTCAACCAGTCTTAATTGAGTTATAAATGCTTCATAGCTTAACTGTTATTGCAGACTCTCAAGATTAGTAATAGCTTTTTTTTGTCATATTCGTCGACCCAAACATGTAAAACCTCGTTGACTAAACAAACCTTTAGCCATGCTGTCATGAGCTAAGGTATTTCGTATACTGATGCACGTGCCCCAAGGTATGGGCTCACAGGTTAAATCGACTTTTCCTTAGAATTGCAAAGTTGTCCCATTTGGTTTATTATGGCTTGGATTGTAATTTGTCAATTTTAAAACCCCCATGACTTTGGTCAACAGTGAGTTATTTTAGCGATAGACACATTGTTTTCTTACTACCGTTGTCGCTTCACACATTAGATGGCTTCGTCAGCTTCAACACGTTTACATGATGACCCAGTCATCATAACGCGATGCGAAATCAAGAAGTCGTCCCGGTATGAAACTCGCGCCGGTATGAGTTTTCTCCTGTAAACACCCCCTTACTAAACGCGTCCGTCAGATCCCCCTACATATACTTTTCTGAAAGTAATTAATCAAATTAAATTTATTTTTTTGCTCTGTTTTTCTCTTTAGAGTAAGAGCTATTTCCTAAGTCAAGGTCGTGAGTTACATGAGTGGGCATCAAACCCTTTTGAATGTTCATTACATTCATTTCACCCTGTGTGAATTTACCCATGGGTTTCAACCATGTTGGGGAGTATGGGTTGTACAGCATTGAGGGCACTCGCAGTCCACCTATGTGTACCCGAGTTGGAGTCCCACTGTTGTAGTCGTGTGTAGGTTGAGTTTGTTGTTTGATCTCGTCCTTGGTCCGGGAGATTATTCCGCTCCGAGCACTTCGGATCCCCCCGGCCCCAACGTCGCAAGAATTACAAGGTAAAGGCACACACATGCACAAATAACCTTTAGCCTGGAAAAGGGCCTTCCCGTTTTACTCGACGCTTTCAACTCCCTATTGATCAGTTTTTTTCCGCATTTCTTGAAGAACAAATCGTTGTACTTCCTTTACGAACCTAAAAAACTCGGGAAGTTTCGTAGTTATTTGTTTAGGTTCCCATTCTCCGCTATTGAGTAACTCGTCCCACTCTCTACAGTGTAGATGAAGATCGGTCTGCAAGAAAATAACGGAAAAAAATAGTATGGGGCTACGCTCGCCCGCGAGAAGCGCGCCAGAGCGTAGCCCCATACCTAAGAAAATGTGTTAATCTACCCATCCGATAAATTTTGGTAATCACGTGACCGTACGCCCGACCGACCGTCCGTCCACACTACAGGCATACCAATGTAAACTAGCTCAATCAACAGGTGTGGCAACCCAAATGCAACTGGAGGATATTTCGCCGGGAAATGGCATAGCCACCCGCGTCTTGTGAAGCAGAGACAACCAAAGAGTCAGTAAATAAGAAAACGGAAAGCGGAAATTGTTTCTGTGTCCGTATATTAAGCGAGAAAACGAATGTCAAATTTCAAAAGAATTGTAAAAACTGGTAAAAATTCCGAAAATTGCACGTGTAAGATGTCATTTTGTGAAATTTGGCATTTATTTTCTCGGGCTCCCACGAGAAATAGTCATTGGGGTTATTACAGATAACTCATTACATCTACAGCCCTTGAAAATAGGCTGACACCTCCCTTAGACGGACAGTTAAGGTGATGTTACACGAGACGATTCGCAACGACGATTTTTAGCGCAACACAGCGTTGCAACAACATTGTTGCGACATTGTTACGAATGGTCACAAAATTGTTCCAACATTGCAGCGCTGTGTTGTGCTAAAAATCGTCGTTGCGAATCGTCTCGTGTAACATCACCTTAAGTACCGGTCCAAACAATGTGTTACCTATAGAGAGTTGATCTTAGTTCGAAATTGAGTGTATGCTCTATTAAATTCATACCGATTCTCTCGAGTCTTCCGTTGATATATCGCTACGCCAAGAGCTCTCCTTAGAAAAAATAACTGCAAATCCTGGATAAATTTCGTAAAGAGATCGTTCGGACCGTCGTTTGTGGATCAAGTGAAATCCTTCAGGTGGATCTCTCTCTGGGAGGCAAATGTCAAGACCATTTTCTTCTGTCAAGGTCAGTCTGCTCAAATATCCCGATAACGCTTGTGTCGACTCTTTATCCGGTACATAATCTGCCAGGAGTGCACTTTCTAAGGATAGGAGAAAATGAAGTCAAAACTTTAGAAATTACCAACACTCCGTAAACAGTTATTAAAGGGGTCAACAGGACAGCTTGCGGAGAGGAAACTTAAGGACTAGAATCCCGGCCTAATCCCCACACGGGGTGACGTTACGTCCATTCATTCATGAGGTCGAGTGGTTTGTCCGCCTGTGATAAGGCACGGCAACCAGCAGTCGAGAGGAAAGGGGGCTACGACTTATGTTTACTCTCGTTACTCAAAAGCTGAATTACAGAAAATATCCAAAACGTAATCCCAAATTACGTTCTGAGTAATTTCAAAAAACCCCAGGAGAGTAATTAGAGTCTAGAGAAGTAGTTCTCCTCACAAAATGTCACTCTTAGAGTCAGTTTAGCCCCCAAAGTAGTAATTTTAAAACCCTTACGTCCACAATTAAATCCGACATTTTCAACCAGAAAAATTTCGATGGCCATTGCCACTATTCTACTATTTTCCTTATTGTAGCTATTATAACTGCCACTCTTTAATGTGTTTTAATTGAAGTCATACCCATTCGCCCACGAATCGTGAGCCTACAATCAAACTCGCAACCGGGAAACAAAATATCTGCTTGCAGATATTTTCTAGATGGAAGCACCAGCCATCCTCTACACCTTGATCGCGTAACCTCGTCTTTAAAATGTATTTCTTCCAGGATGTTCTTCACATCACTGTAAGGAATTGGAATGTCTTCCAACTTTTTACCAGTGTTGTTTCTTGTGATCCAAACCTGTGAAAGAAGAGCAAGGTCTAGCCGGTTAAGGACGTTCGGATAGCAGGGNGATCTCTCTCTGGGAGGCAAATGTCAAGACCATTTTCTTCTGTCAAGGTCAGTCTGCTCAAATATCCCGATAACGCTTGTGTCGACTCTTTATCCGGTACATAATCTGCCAGGAGTGCACTTTCTAAGGATAGGAGAAAATGAAGTCAAAACTTTAGAAATTACCAACACTCCGTAAACAGTTATTAAAGGGGTCAACAGGACAGCTTGCGGAGAGGAAACTTAAGGACTAGAATCCCGGCCTAATCCCCACACGGGGTGACGTTACGTCCATTCATTCATGAGGTCGAGTGGTTTGTCCGCCTGTGATAAGGCACGGCAACCAGCAGTCGAGAGGAAAGGGGGCTACGACTTATGTTTACTCTCGTTACTCAAAAGCTGAATTACAGAAAATATCCAAAACGTAATCCCAAATTACGTTCTGAGTAATTTCAAAAAACCCCAGGAGAGTAATTAGAGTCTAGAGAAGTAGTTCTCCTCACAAAATGTCACTCTTAGAGTCAGTTTAGCCCCCAAAGTAGTAATTTTAAAACCCTTACGTCCACAATTAAATCCGACATTTTCAACCAGAAAAATTTCGATGGCCATTGCCACTATTCTACTATTTTCCTTATTGTAGCTATTATAACTGCCACTCTTTAATGTGTTTTAATTGAAGTCATACCCATTCGCCCACGAATCGTGAGCCTACAATCAAACTCGCAACCGGGAAACAAAATATCTGCTTGCAGATATTTTCTAGATGGAAGCACCAGCCATCCTCTACACCTTGATCGCGTAACCTCGTCTTTAAAATGTATTTCTTCCAGGATGTTCTTCACATCACTGTAAGGAATTGGAATGTCTTCCAACTTTTTACCAGTGTTGTTTCTTGTGATCCAAACCTGTGAAAGAAGAGCAAGGTCTAGCCGGTTAAGGACGTTCGGATAGCAGGGCCGGCGCAAAAAAGGTGAGCCATCCAGTTTTGCGCCACTCTCCATTATCTGAACGCCTGGAGAGAATAGGCTAAGAAAGGTCTGAATTGAGGATCTTCTCTTGCATTACTAGCAATCTCATTGACCAGGTGGGGGCAAAAACGGGACGGGAATGTTAACAGCGGAAATCATTTCAGACAAGATTTACAACAAAAAGGAAGACTCCCGCTGGGCACTAAATATAAGCTAACATTTTCCAGAAGCATTCTATTTCCGTGTTTCCGATTGGGCACAAGAGCTCCTTCGACCCGTTATCCTCACGACGATGTCATTAACAGTTACTAGAGGGAACTAATCCTGTCTTTCAAATATGATTTCATCTCCGAGTATGCAGTCCTAATTATCTCTAAAGGTGGATAGTTAGCAGATCCTAATAACCAAATGACAGCTAGTAGTGGGAGGTGGCTCTGTCGTACCCTTTTTTAAATTCCCAATCTTCCGGTCGATAAATTAAAATTCTTACTTGACTCCGAGGCTTTAGGGACAAAATTGCAAATTTTTGACGACTCCACTGTCTCGCAATTCCCAGAAAAGACTTGAGCACAAAGAAACCAAATACAGAAATATGACCAGAAGGCCTCGGAGTCGTGTTAGAATTTCAATATATCGAACTTGGGCTATTGAATATCAACACTGGCTCCCCTTAGTCGCTCCTATAAGAGAAGCACCAGGTTGAGTAGAGTAGGCAGTAGTTACAATATTAGAGGACGATGGTGAAAGTCGGTGTTTGAGCTTAGTGTCTACTAACACGTGGGTTCAACACCATCCAACGATGATGGTCACGTAGTTACCATCATCGCCTGACCAATAGCTCAATCGAACACTCGACTGATGAAGACGACATCATCCAACACTGTTGGCTGGTTTTGAATCCGTTAAAATGTGAGAACATCTTCAAACTAGGAGATAAAGTGCATCCAGCATGCTGCATCCATCTGTGTTGGATGATAAGCAGGTGGAATATGATTGTGATGGACAGTGTAGCCCTGAATAGGACTGACTGTTGTTAACAGTGACTGACGTTTTGACAACCTTGAGTTGTTACCTGTATCGCGTCAGTTGATGGTATTTCACTGTTTTAATGTTGGATGATGTTAGACGAACATGTTGAAAGCGTTTAATGGCGGCCTTACCTTGAATCTTATTTGATTACCACGTGGCGTTAAAAATGCCAAGTCAAATCTTGCCACATAGTCAACATATTCTTCCGGAGTGCTTTCGCAGTCACTGATTCTTTCCAAGATGTTTTCATCTAGATCAACTCCTTCCTTGAATGAAGTTCTCCAGAGATGTTCTCCATTGTCGATTTGAAACTTTTTTCTTACATCTTCGATAGTCCACTCTCCTTCCTCAGCTTCCTCTGAGACAATAATAAAGTATGTCGATTTGAATATAGTGCATGCTGCAGATTCCAGCCTTATTTGTGTCGTGAACGTGGCGCTTCCTTACTTTTAAAACCATTAAATTTTGGATTGTTTCTAATTTAAAACATCTTGCCTCGAAAGGTCACTGGAAACGAGCAAAGAGCCCCTGTTTGTTTAGACAAGAACTTTTGCTCCAAGGGGTATCTATCGATCTATATCTTTCGGCGTGCATGCAATTCGTCAGAATTGGGAGGGGAAGTCGCAATCTCATGGGCTTACGAGCGCGTGGGCATGACTGAAAGAAAGTACTACCTTCGTCAGGTCCCCGGATGATAGCTCTTCCAAAATGACACCACATGTCGGCCTTAAGGTACTCTTCTGTCGTCATTTGTTCCTTTATTTTTTTAAGAGACTCCAAAGCGTCAGCGACAAGTTGTGACAGATAGGGTGGGTCCTCAGTAGAATTGGAGACCTTGACAAAAGGTAGGTAGGTCGGCTTTAATAAACACACGTTACACTAACGTGATACAAAAGTTGTTATCAGTGCTGTAAGAAAGGAAACTACCTCAGTGTCCTGTTCCTTTGGACAAGTGAGGCTAAGTACCTAGGTAAATTTTTGGTTTGCCAGCTTTGCAACCTCAGTGAGTTATAGCCATTGAAAAGACAGGCTGTTTTATCGATTATCAGTACAGTAGCTGTAATAAAAGGATTTTAAAAGCGATAAAACAGAGAGAGAAAGAAGCTAGGCATAAAGTGAGGAATTTAACTCCTTTGTCCTTTAAGAGTAGACACATGACATGACATCTTTTGAGAACCGGTAATAACTCAAGGTTACACGTGCACTACACTTTTTACACTGGGTTACGTGTCTAAAATGAGATCATCTTAACGTAGCTTGGGGAAGTAAGAACAAAAAATTCTTGCGAACCTGTGGCTCATTGTGATCAGACGGTATTAGCCTGAACTGTTTATCCCAACCTGGATGTACCATACGATCTTCTTTCACCAACTTCTTCAGTTTAACTTCACAGTCCTCAGGGAGATTCCAGCCATCAATGTAGACACGAGGTTTGGCGAACTCATTTTCTGAACCCCGGAGTCTTGCTCCAGCCTAGAGACAAATTTTGAGCGCTGTTTGTTGTATGTGTTAAACTAGCCGCTATTGCATAGTGTGAATGGATTGAAGAGGTGGTTGGTTGTATATGGCTGAGGTTTCAGGTTCGAACCCCTCTGAGTAGCACTTTGCTTCTCCATGTTTACGTCAAGTTTCATTCAAAGAACTAACACCTACCTAACACATAATGGTTTCGTGTATTGCCAATGCTGTCAAGAATATAGTAACAAGAAATTAAGCTATTTCAGTATACTTACTATAGCTACTTTAATGTGCAGTCTGGCCTGCTCCTTCTGTTCGTCGGTGCCACTTACTATGTACACCTCACCATCTTTGCGAATCAATTTTGCTCCTGTCTTAGTGCTGATAAAACTGAGATTGTCTCCCCCTTTACCCATGATTAATCCCTTGAATGCGCTTGGAATGTCTACAAATTCACCAGGTGGAGCGTTTTCTTCTGATTTCCTCTTCTGCGTTTATGCCAGAAAACAAGACAGTGAACCTTTTATTAGTCTTGTTTCACCTGCTGTCAACGAAGACTATTAATAACCAGTTGTATACAGACAGTCTTTTTGAAGGCTAAACCTACTAGCAACAATTGTATTTACGTATTGGTCCGTATTCGTAGATGGATGATTTTTGTGGCCAAAGTTAATTATTTTGATGAAACATATATATATTTTTTGTTAAGGCTGTTAAGGCCTCATGAACTCGGCCTTTAGATGGGCCTTTGTACATAACACCACTCTGGCAAATAATCTCAGAACCCATATCTTCGTTAGCAGAAGCAGGCATTAGCACTGAGATTGATCTCACGCCAGTGTTACTGGTATGTGTTCTCACCGGTCTCATGTAATCAGGGCCTGATAATTGCCGTATAAGATAATTTGAGCAGATGACTCACCACCATTTCTATGATACATTTTTTCGCATGTTGCCTTTGTTCTTCTGTTCCGCTGGCCAGGTACACATTACCATCTTTACGTATCAAATTTGCTCCTGTTTGACTGCTGATCTGTCTCAGGTTCTCTCCTCCTCTACCTATCACAAAGCCTTTGCATTCACTTGGAATTTCGACCAATTCAAAAGTCGGAGCTATCTCAGATTTCTTGACCTGTAATTCGTGCTGTAGAGGAAAGAGCAAGGGAAATTATTTGACTTCCTCACCCCGGAAGTAAGTAAATTTGTTAATACGCGTGCACCTATCATAAATCTATAGTATTAAAAAAATTTAACTGTATTTATTATGTGTCTCCAAATGCCAGGAAAAATGTTTAATTTATTTGATGACTTATTATGAACACCATGGAAAGACTAACGGTTCATGCAAGCAAAGCCTTATACAAACAACAAACACTGAATCACCCTAAATCCATAATATTTGTTATTATGTTATTATTACACGCCGCACTTACTGCTTTCTCTAATATGAGCCTCTTAGCACATTTTCTTTGTCCAGCATCCCCCCGGACAAAAAATCCTTCGTCATTTCTTCCCGGCGATGTGATCAGTGCGCCTGAAGACTTCATGATCTCTTTAATCGAACACCCATCTTTTCCGATGACGTAACCTTTCAAATCTTTCCGCACTTTCACAAATTCTGTCTCTGTTGCCGCTTCATTGTGCTGGAGGCGATTGTAAGCCGTTCTGTAAAGGACAGAATAATCAGTGCATCGTCAATCCCACTATCTCAGTCCAGTCTGTCCACTCTTAAGTCAGGTTGGAAGACTTAATACAAATTGACCACTGCTTACCTAGTAAGCGTTTCTCGCAGTGTTTTCCTTGAAGAAAATTTTGTAGTTCACATTGTTTTAGACCTGCTGCTTGCTTAGACCCACTTCAACGGGGTCTTTTATAGAGATTACCAGATCGAAATAACTGCACATGCAACTAATGGATACTGAGATCGTATGAACAGTGCCAAATGCAGCGCAATCTTAGACCAGATACTGGTCCGAACTATACAACACTACCCAATAACACTTCCCCAAGCATCGGAGCAAATTTGAAATATCGAAATTGGTCTGTTGCTAAGCTGAAAGACTCTACTAGTCAACCCACACATTCTTTGGAAAATTTCTAGTTTCAAAAACAGAATTTCTCCAAGTGTCTAGTAAATCGGCCTCAAATTATAATTCTGCCTGGCGTTGTTAGATATGCAGGGGCAGTGTTTAGCTCTGTATCTGAAAATGTCAAGCTACGGCTCAGCCGCTTCCTGCTATTGATTTAAATCCTGGTATAAAAAGTCATGGTATCACTGGTGTGAACGGAACAAGAATGCCTTCACCACAATGGCAGCCCCATCTAGGGACATTTAGAGCCCCCGACATGATCCCGTTCGCGAAATGATCCCCATTTCTCTTCACGTCGTCCCCGAAATGATCCCCAATTAATTTTAAGAATGGAATGATATCCTGGAACTACGGATCGAGAATCACTCGTCTAATAATCTTTACTTGCCCGCATTCTTTTATGAAATTAATTTGGGATTACACTTTGAACTGGATTACAGTGTAAACCACAATATTTATAATACACAAAGTCTAGTATATTAGTCACACGATGAACTGCAACTGATAACATCAAGAAACATGTACTATTAATACTGACTTACCTCTTACGGGTCATTTCAGTGCGTTTTCTTCCTTTCGATTGCCGATTAAAAGATCTAAATGGCAATAACACATAGTATTAAGCTACAGTAAATAAAACCGCGTGTAACCTGCATTTTTTTCTTTTTTTAAAGTCTGGCAAAAAATGTTCGTGTAGTTTGGGGTGGTTGTTGATTAGTCAGGCTAAGTATATTCTTTTTTTTTTAGGTTTTTATTTTATATGAAGGTGTTATAGATTATTTTATTCTTATAAAAATAAAGAATCTTGAATTTG